GGAAGCCCTCTGGGGTATGTTATATATTTGACATGCATGTGCTGTGTGTAATTGGAACCATGAGAAAGGTTTTTGTTTAAAGCTATTGAACAGTTTCCCTATGTAAAACCTGTTGAATCTGGAAAGAGTTGTTAGGTTTTGAATTTTTTTTCTCTGATAATGACTTTATATAAAAGTTTAGGGCGAAGAGGTGTTTCTATTTCAGAGCTTTGCGATTGCCCAGGTGCCTGGCATTGCCACTGAGGCTGGTCTGTCCCCTGCCTTCTGGGTCCCTGGATGTCGGAGCTGGAAGCCCAGGGCCTCCTATTTGTACGGTAGAGGCTGGAGAAGGCCCAAGAGGTTAGATGGCAGCTGTGGCCCTGCTCAGGAGTGGCAGAAGCAGGCCTGGCTCCATCCTCTCACCCCCAGATTGCAGCTTTTAACTGCCTTGGGATGAATCAGAGCCAACAAGTTTGTCTTCCATTTTTCTAGTTAAAGAAATCTGTCATCCTGCTCTTCTCCTCCTGAGCTGCTTTACTTTCTGCAGATTACATTCTTTTCTAGTGACCTGCTGGAAGAGTGTCCTACCCTCACTGCTGGAGTGTTGGCAGTGAGGCTTTGCAGGTGGCTGGCAGCTGCTGGTCCCCTGGCACATGACTGCTGGCCACTGAGGTCCGTCCCAGGTATTTTGGAGGGTCGTCAGAGGTTTCTGAGCAGGACAGTGGCAAGATGAGGACTATCTGTGCTGTGGCCTAGGGTAGACAAGGCCTGTCAGCTCTGCTGGGCCGTCTGTAGCAGCACCGCTGCTTTGGCAGGTAGGTTGGCGGTAAGGCCCCCAAGGCCCAGGTGGACTTTGCTCTTGCTTCTCTGACATAGCCCTGCATAAGGACACAGGAGGACATAGAGAAGCCCATCTTCTTCATGATGTTGGAAGGCCAGACAGCTCTCCAAGGACCCCGCCAGGGTTGGCAGTCAGGGTGCATGGAAGTTGCCTCCTGCATGCAGACCCCGCAGCCCTCTCATGAAGGGGCCTTTTTTCTTTGAGACAGAGAGGTGGGCCAGGGGGACCTCTGATCCAACCGTGAGAATGTCTGTGTGTATGCTGAGGCAGATGCCTGTTAACAGACACAAATTGGCAACTGGTGTCAGTCTGTGTGTCAGTCTGTGTGTCAGTTCCCTCACTAGCCAATTAAAATGGCACTTTAGAAAACCATCTGGCTTTGACTTGGGAATGGAATCCTGGCTCCATCACAGGGCCAGGCTCTGGGGTGTGGTGGGAGTGGTTCAGTGACCTGGAGGTGGGGGCTCTGTGTCCATGGGGTGCCGGACTTCTCCTGGGGCAGTTGGCAGCCTCCGAGTGTAGAAGTCAGAGCAGAGGAGACACTGAGAGTGCTGGCCACTGTCACTCACAGTTGCCTGTGTAGAAATTAGTTTTGTCTAGTGGACTGATAAATTGGGACTAGCAGTTAGCATCCAGATTTCCCTGAGGCTGTAGAATTGCTGGATAGTCTCTTCCAGAGCTGTCGGGGTGGCCTGGCAGTGATGTGCATTTCTATGAGGCTTTCCTCCCAAAGGTGCTGCAGCCTATTAGTTTTGACACTTTTTGGCCCACGAATGGGCTATCGTACCAGCATAGAAAGTGAATATGAACAATATTAGAAGACTAGGAGCAATTCCAGGTGAAGGAGAATTTTCCAGGTAAAACAACTGAGGGCCTTTTAAGCATTACAGATTTGGTTTAGGTCCAGTTGAGATCATCGTTTTAAAATCACTTATTAGACTTACCTTATTTTAAAAAGCCATGGTAGTATCCTCTTGTTTGGCTTAGCATTTTATATGTGTGAACTTCATTTTTAAAGGTAAAAATGAGACATTTACAAGGAGTATGATATTCTTTCAGATAATTGAACGTAGTTTTGGTTTGTTGATCGGCTGCTGTGTCTTCTGCTCAGTGAAGTTTGCCTGGTGCTGCGGCTCTGACCCCTTGCTTTGGAGGCGGAGGTGCCTTGGAGAGCTGAAGCCCGCAGGTGCAGAAGCCTCCGGGAGGTGCTTTGCAGGGAGTGTCATGTCAGAGAGAGGGATTGCAGGACCAGTGGGCAGTTCCTGTAGAAGGCATCCCGGGGACCCAAGAGGGAGCCTGTGCGGCCGTATGGCTGCCTTCTGGAATGTCTGCTCTGCTCTGGAGTGAGCTGTGGGGCGAGAACAGATGGTGGTCTAACCTTGAGGGTGGGGTGGGGAGAAGTTGCGGTGAGGAGTGAAGGGGTCCTCTCCAAAGGCGTGGCTGTGCTGGGTGGGGCGGGCTTGGGGTTGGCACTGTCGTCTGATCTGACTGGATATGGAGAAGCAAAGCGGAGGTGGCCATGTGTGACTTCGAGCCCTGAACTATCCCCTGGAGGTGGCATGGCCACTGGCCAGAGCAGCTCAGTGGGGGATGGCTCTATTTCAGTTGCCGTGGAATGAGACGAGCCTGTGGCACATCCTTGGTTAGGGGTCCTGCTGTCGTTGGGCTCCTGCCTGGTCCCTTAGCAGGGTGGAGAATGAGGCCCGGCGCGGCTGAGGTGACCCTGGTGTCTATGGGGAGGGGACCTGGAGAACCCTGTTGCTCTGTCAGACCTTTGTGAGCAGGTCCCAGTATCGTGCCAGTCCTGTGAGGAAACCTATCTCCTGAGACCGGCGCGGCTGAGGTGACCCTGGTGTCTATGGGGAGGGGACCTGGAGAACCCTGTTGCTCTATCAGACCTTTGTGAGCAGGTCCCAGTATCGTGCCAGTCCTGTGAGGAAACCTATCTCCTGAGCTCCTTACCCCTGGTTGAAGTAGGTGGAATTGATATCATGGTATCTCTGAGCTTTTTATTTTGGAGTAAGTTCACTTTATGTAAACTTACAAACATTTTACAATCTTATTAAAAATAATCACTGTGTATATAAAAAACAAACTGTACAGAGTCATATGCATCTTTTGTTGCTATTTATATAGAATAAAAAAATCCTTAGATGGAAAAAGGCAGAGGGGAAATTTGTATGTCATGTTCGTAGTCTTGCAGTAGTTCTCGTGACTTTGCTTAAGACCGTTTCCAGGTGCCTTTCTCTGGAAGATAGCTTGTGTGAGGGCAGTCGCGTGTGGACATGGTGGCTGCAGTTGTGCTAAGCAGGCTGGAGGGTGTACAGATGCGGTGCAGCGGAGGGTGGTGGTCTTGGCGTGGACGTTCTCAAGAGAGAGCAACCCGGTGTGCCTTGGACAGTTTTTTTTGTGATGCCGTTTATCTCCGCTACTGGCTTTTTAGCTGTGTGCTGTTTTCTTTGTCCAGTGGATGACCGCCCCACCTTTGACATGTCCTGGTCGACCCTCACATGCTGTGAGCACAGTGCACGCGTGTGCATGCATCCCTTGGCAGAGGTCTGCAGCAGTGGTCTGCGGCGAGCACCTGTCCCAGCAAGGGCAACTGCCGCCTCTCAGTTTTACCCTGGAAATGTGGTGCTGTGTCAGGGCCGTGTGGCTGTGGATACTGCTGGAGCTGAGAGCGCAGAAACGGCCTTGCCCCATGACTTCACGCCTGTGCTCACAGCTGAGACTGTGCCTGCCATACAGCGTCACTGGGTCAAGTGCTGACCAGGGGAAGCTGTTGTGCCAAGGATGCCCAGCGCACAGGAGCAGGACATACATACTCCATGTCCTCCGTGAGCAGACAGCTGATGTTGCTGACTCTAACAATTTTTTAAACGCTCGTGTGGCTGTTAGTTGCTCTCTGGCAACGTGGCTGTCTTTCAGAAAATCCCAGTTAGTGTGACTTTTAAGAAAATTGATATTCTATCTTTGAATGCAACATAAATTTTTTTCTTCAGCTTTTTAAAATTACATTTCCCTATTACAATCCTTTGAAGAAGCTCTTTAAAATTAATATTTGTTTCATTTATAAAATTAAATTCCCTTAAACATTTAAAACCCCATGCATAGATGTAATATATTCTATTTTAAGTAATGTACACGTCTCTAGTAAGTAAACCCTTGAAAGTACTCGAAATACATGAACTTAATAAATTGAACATGTAAATACAGTAAAATTTAAGCTTCTTCAAACATTCCAATACTTTTACTATGTATATTAAAGTTCATATCTTTACATCAAAAGTCACATATGTAATAGTGTATTGCTCAATTATACATTTTCAAGTGGAACCAGAAGGATAATCCATTGTGTACTTCAAACTATGTTAACTAGGACAGATTTTTTTTTTATTAATTAATTTATTTTTGACTGGTAAGGGGATCGCAACCCTCAGCACAGTGTTGTCTGCACCACGCTCAGCCAGTAAGCACGCTGGCCATCTGAACCCAAGACCTTGGCACTACCAGCGCCGCACTCTCCTGAGTGAGCCACAGGGCCGGCCCTAGAACAGATATTTTAGATAATAAAACATACATAGATTATTGCTCAAGTTAACATGGAAGTGACCACAGGCTTGATCCACTTTATCATCCTGGTTCTCAGCTCTGCACAGAGATGACGCGCCCTGTGGACGTGGCTTCTCTCCCTCTGCCCTGTCCTTTATGGCCTCATGACAACAAGGCTCTGGGGGCTGGGTGTACTGTGCTTTCAAACACTTTTACCTCATTTGTGGGTGTCCCCTGTGACATTCGTCCCCCCCCATTAAACGTGTAGCTTCCTTTCCTCCCTGCCTGGTGAATGTCTGCATTTCTTTACACCTTCTCAGACATAGCAGTGTTCCTTGACAGGCTTGGCCGACATTTTCACACCGTTCTGAAGGGGCTTTCATATCTTTATCTAATTTGGGGGGAACTTAAAAAAAAACTTCTCCACTTGAGTTGGTGGACTTTTGTCTTCCTTTCAAATGTTTGTTTTCTGACAGAGTCATGGCTTTTATAGGGACTCGAGTGACTTTGGGTTGACTCTGCTCCCAGTGTCCCCATGCTTTTGTTTGGTGCTGCAGCCGCACTCGGACAGTGAAGCTGCTCGCGCTGCCTCCCCAGTCTGCTTCTCATGGTCTTTGTCTCTTGTCAGTTGTCCCTGTGATCCTGAAGGCACTGACCTACGATGAGAAGAGGGGTGCCTCCAGCGTGGGCGCCAACGTCAGGGATGCCGCCTGCTACGTCTGCTGGGCCTTCGCGCGCGCCTATGAGCCTCAGGAGCTGAAGCCCTTTGTGACTGCGATCTCCAGGTAAAAGCCCGTTAGAGTCATGACATGGGTGGGATGGGCCCCTCTGTTGTCTTCCCTGATGGCACTGTGTGTGGCACATGTAAAATAGACATTCATGAGCAATTATAATATATATATATTTTTTTTTTTGTCTTTTTGTCTTTTTTCGTGACCGGCAACGGATCGCAACCCTCAGTGTTGCGCCCGTACCGGACCGGGACCGGCAACGGGATCGCAACCCTCGGTGTTGCCCCCGCTCCTCGCTCAGCCAGTGAGCGGCCGGTCTGTATGTGGGATCCGAACCCTTGGCGGGAGCGCCGCCGCGCTTCCCAAGCGGCGCACTGTAGCAGTGCGCCACCGGGCCGGCCATATAATATAATTTTAAAGGAGGATGTATGAAGAAGTTGCAGCTCAGGAATAGAGTTCCTTTTTTGTGGGCAAGCAGTTCAAACCAGAAGTATTTAGGAGGCTGTGGCTGGCCCGTGGTCAGTAGTCTTGGTGATGGGCACTGGGCCAGTGTGAGAGCAGCACGGTGCAGAAGCAGGTGAACATATGTGCTCCATGTCTGTGGGCCCACCGAGAGGCGGGTTGTGGAAGTTCAGCCCTCACCTGAAGAATCTTCTGGCACTCAGAGGGAATGGGAGCATTGGGCAAGGAAGACTTCAGATGACGTCTGCTTTTGTTGAGGGGCTGGATTTTGTCTAGCCTTAATTTCCTAATTTCTGTGGACTAGCCCTTGGATATTTAGTAGTAGCAACATTCGCTCCACCCTTTATCTTCAGCACCTTGGAAACATAAATGAACACATCATAACAGCTCTGTGACGTAGAAAAATATATTATTTCTCTGGTTTCCTGATGAAAGAACTGAAGCTGCAGTTTATGTGTGGTCACCAGAGCACCAGAGCCTTGTGCCAGCTGCGGGCAGACAGGGGCTCCCGAGCAGGTTTTCAGCACTGTGCCCGGATGAGCCCTATTAAAGCATTGCCATCGGTCCTGACTTTCAGGATCTGAAACACATGTGTTCCTAGTATAGTAAATTCTTAAGGTAATTTTATACAATGCTTTGGTACCTGACTTTTGGACTGAAATAAGTCCCTTTAAGTTGAAGAAGGTCTGGTGCTCCGTTTCTTGTTGTTGGAGGACCTGGAAGAGGGATAGTGGAGCAGGTGACTCAGTGATAGTCCTAGTCCTGGGTGTGTGAGTCCACAGTTGCATCACCTCAAGATTTAGTACCAGCACTTCACCTGACAACTTTTACTAGGAAAATGGATTTTGAAATTATGCTTCCTCCCACAGCTCTCTAGGAGATGGCCACCCAGGTTCTGCACTGGATGCCAAAAGAGAACATGGGACTGCATAGATTTCAAAGAAGCATGGTGCTTCCTCTGGCCTGGGTGGGGCAGGGCACCAGCTGCTGCACTTGGTGGCAGGCTCAACTCTGCTTGGCTGTACCGTGTCCCCTCTGCCTTAGACGCTACGCACGCACCAGAAGTGAAGCACACGGGTGTGCATGCTGCTGGCTCTGTCTGGCCTATGCCTGCTGCAAGGACAACTGCTGAGCAGCTCCAGGCTCAAATCAGCATGGCTCCAAAGGGCTTAGCAACTGGAGTTTTATTCTATTCTCACCAGTGTTTCATCTCCCCATGTATATCACAGGGTCAGGAGAGGGACTTCAAACCCTGTTTACTTCCCTGGAGGTGTGGTGCGGGCCCGTACCACACAGTCTAGATTCTCGCCTCAAAGCAAAGCCTATAGAGGGGGTGAGGATCCTGCCCCTGCTGGGGAGATAAGGTGTTTCCGAGGAAGTCGTAAACATGTCTGTCTCTTCCTATCTTGTCTGCCTCTGGAGGGGAGAAGAGAGCCGGAGGGCGCTGGTGTGGACAACTCTCAGAGAATGGCTTACCCGGGGCCAGGGAGTTCCTGGGTGGCAGTGAGCAGCTGCCTGTGCCTCTGCCCATCGCTGTCCCCGACGGTCACGCTGGCTGTGCTGCTGGTCTTCAGTGAGCAGCACTGGCAGAGGCGCGGGCTGAGGGCCTGGCTGGCCCCGCGGGGCGGGTGTGTGCTCTTGCTCTGGCCGCAGCTGCTCCACGGCTCTATAAACATTGGCTTTTGTTTGTTTGTCGATTAACGTGGCTTTAGGGGAGGCTCTTCCTTCTGCTTTCCTGTCCTGCTCCTTTGCTTCTGGAAGTTGATCCCGTAACTAGGGAGTGAAAGCAAAAAAAAAATATCTATTTCATCTTTTACAGTGACTGTCACGGAGCACTAAAGTGTCTTTGGATGGACAGTATCTCATTTAGCTTCGGCAGCAACCCTGTGGGGTGGGCAGGTGCTTGGACCATTGCGGTTTCACTGAGGATGAAGTGTGAGGGACAGTGCTGAGGAAGCTGGCCTGGACTCTCGTAGCTGGCAGGTGTGGAGCCTGTCTGGCCCTGGCGATGGAGGCCCTGTCCTTGGCACAGGCACGGCTGCCTTGTGGTGGGAAGCTCCTGACACCCGCCACCAGGCAGGGAAAAGAGCCTTTATTGATTGATTGATTGATTGATTGGGTGGCTAGCCATTATGAGGATCTGAACCCATTACCTTGGTGTTATAAGGCTGTGCTCTAACCATTGAACTAACTGGCCAGCTAAGGAGCTTTTGTTCAGATGTGACACTGCTTCGACGGGTCCTAAAATGGGGGATTCCTTTTCGAAGTGAACGTAATCCTGATGGATTTCCTTTTCACCCTAATAGTTTGTCCAAGAGCAGTGAACTTCACTGGAACCCTTGCCTCTCCTTTCTCCAGGGATGCTTGTCCTTCACATCACAGGAGGAGCAGGGCTGGAGGCTGAGGGTCAGCTGAGGACATGGGAATAGGGTGAAGCCTCTGCTCATGTGGGACAGGTCCAGGTCAGGCACCGGAGCCTTTGGGTGAAAGCTCTGATCCCACTGAAGGTGCTAGTGTAGAGGTTTTTTTGATTGTTTTTGTTTTACAGGAATCAGAACCCTTGACCTTGGTGTTAGAGTATAGAGTCTTAAGGTCAAATTGCCAACTTAGGAAAGATTCAGACAGAATGGTCCCAACAAATAAAGTCCTCTCTGTTGAACGGGGTTAATTAGCTATTGAAGTGGGGACAGAGAGGGCCTTTTACCAAGGCCCTGAACAAGCAAATAATGTCTGTTTTCTGCAATTTGAGAACTTATTGCCATAACACTACTCTCAGTGGTGATTTGATAAAGTGAAATTTCAATCTGTGAAAAAATTACAGTTAAGTCAGAGTCTGGTCTTACATGATATGGGTTTGAAGTCTAGGGACTGGCTGATTCTGCGGGCTGCAAGTAGATTATGTGCTCTGTGGGGGTTGAACCTGCGTGGTGAACTGCCCCACTGTCAGGCTGAGCTGCGTTCGGTGCCCCTGTCCACTTCCCTGGTGTGGGGTTGAGTTTCCACAGATGCTGAAGGGGCACAGGCACTTTTTACTCCAGGGTCACCCTTCGTTATTTGAAAAAGAAAAGGCAGATTTGGAGGCTGCCAAAGTGGCCCCACAGGACTCCTCCTCGCTTGGCTGGGTCAGGGTCCTGCCATGGGATTCCTTTTCTGGAGTGACAGCTGCAGTTGGCCGATGTGGACTTGGCTGTGGTTTGGAGCACCTGGAGCGATTGTGCAGCTCCAGCTGGAGCTGGTCTTGTCCGGGGGTGGGGGTGGGGGGCTTCTTCAGGGTCTCGCTGCGGGAGGTGTGGTCTGCTAAGTGTGGCTTCTGTCTGGGACGTGGGGAGTTGGGGGTGGGAGTGGGAGTGGACCTTCAGGACACTCATGTTTCTGAGTTGGTCCTGAAGGATGAGGGGACCCCACAGTTGCCTGCAGGCCTTAGAATGACTTGAGTCTCCAAAATAACATAACTTACATAGCCAGAGAATAACTGGCATGTGGCAGGGTCCATGCCAATCTGTGGAAATTCATCTGGTTCCACCTGGCTCCTCTGATCTCTGTGGAGGTTCAGTTTCCTGGACTCTTGGGCATGCCTGAGTGATGGCTGACAAGTTCCATGGATCACACACACTGAAGCCAGCAGCTGGTGGGTGGGAGGTGCCCATCGGTGCTCCCACGTCCCAGCATAGGGGCATTATCCGTAATAACTTCGTATGTGGGAGTGGACCTTCAGGACACTCATGTTTCTGAGTTGGTCCTGAAGGATGAGGGGACCCCACAGTTGCCTGCAGGCCTTAGAATGACTTGAGTCTCCAAAATAACATAACTTACATAGCCAGAGAATAACTGGCATGTGGCAGGGTCCATGCCAATCTGTGGAAATTCATCTGGTTCCACCTGGCTCCTCTGATCTCTGTGGAGGTTCAGTTTCCTGGACTCTTGGGCATGCCTGAGTGATGGCTGACAAGTTCCATGGATCACACACACTGAAGCCAGCAGCTGGTGGGTGGGAGGTGCCCATCGGTGCTCCCACGTCCCAGCATTTCTCATTTCTCCTCCTTAACCCCAGAGTTACCCCCCAGTGTGGGCTGCCTGTGGAGTTCCTGCTTGTAAAGGCCCCCCCGTCACTCCCTCACCTGTGCCCATCCTGGCATCGGATCAGCCGGTGCTCTTTGGAGCCGCACCCGCCCAGCAGATGGTGGGCCAGTTGAACAGGTTCTCAGGGAACCTTGCTCCAGCCCTTCCCGGCCCATCCAGACTCCAGGCATGCGGCGGGGGAGGGCGGGCTGGTGAGTCAGGGTGCGCCAGGTCAGCGTGGAGGGTGCTGCTGGGGCGCGCCTGCCCAGAGCCCCGCGCCTGCCGAGTATCGGTGGGGTGTGTCTCCCTTCGTCTGTCATAAGTGACCACACTTTAATTGCCAGCTCTTGCGCCCATTAATTCTGGCACATGATAAAATCTTGGTATCTCTAACCATACTTTCACAACTGTACTCTTCAGTGGATCCTGTAGAAGAGAACAGTTGAGATAAAAATGTAATTCTCTAAGTGAAATAGAGGTGTCTATAAAGAGTCAGGTGGTGACGACGCGCAGCCCAGATGCCCCCAGACCTT